CGCTCTGCGCGGAGCGTGCGGACAGGGGGGCGGGTGCATGCAGGGGGGAGAGTGCATGCAGGGCGGAGAGTGCATGCAGGGCGGAGAGTGCATGCAGGGGGGAGAGAGCATGCAGAGCTCATGCAAAAGCAGCAGGAGTGAACTTTAGGGGACTGATATTGTTGAATAGTAACTACCATTAAAATGACAAAGCTTAGGTTTGTTTCCTGAGACAAAATTTATTGAAGGTTTCAACCCAGTTGACTATGTGACAACTGCACGTGCGTAACGTGCCATGTCGATATTAACTTGCGCTGGCCTGAAGTGAACGAGCGGTTTTCCACCAAAGCATTCAAAGCGCTGACCCCAAATGTCCCTTTGCGTCCTACAGTCAAGTCAGGACCCAAGCAGAGAGGGCTGCTTTCATGCAGCTTACATCACCCTGCTACTTTATTGCTTTAATAGAAGCAGAAACTCCGGGATCCATGCTTCATTAATTTGGCCTCATTTCTCTAACATGCTGTTTGAGTGGTGAAATCTGCTGGCTTCCTAGAAGCGTACGTTAGCGTGTCAGAATGGTACAACATGGTGCAGTTGTACCTCTGGACCTCCTAAGGATTCTAGCATGCAATTGGTCAAAAGCTTTAAGCGTTCCTTTGCAGTCTCTGTGCTATCAATCATCATAAAGGATTTTATTATCCTTAAGCACCAGAAGCATTTTCCACGTTTAATCTGAGGTTTTGTCCAAAATATTTCATGCCAGTGCTGTTGTCTTAGTGCTTGATGATTAAACCCCCATCCTGCCAAAAAAGCAAATGTCACAAGACTTGGAAAGACTGATGCAGGAAGTTTGGAGAGGAAGGGTATCTCGCCTGCTGTAATATGATTAACAGTCAGGATACACCCCCTTCCCCTGAAGCAAATACCTGACAGGTTCATGTGAACAGCAGACCACTCGGGTGCCATTTTTAATACAACTATAGATTTATTTCCTGATTCGCAGAACATAAACAGGCACACGCACAGACATGAACCAATCAGAACCATCTTCCAGACAGCATATCACCTCAAGTAATAAAAAAAACTGCTGCCCCATTTTAAGAGGCCTTTACTCCCAGCCGACCCAGGGAGGCTCACCCAGAGTTTCCACGATGGGCAGCTTTTTGACGATAGCTCGCTTTTTCACCATCCTCATGACGCCCAGCGCCAGGGTGACCGTCACCACGATGGGCAGGCCTTCGGGGATGGCGGCCACAGCGAGGCTGCGGGGCAGGCAGTGTTACTTTAGGAGGAGAGATTCCCCCCCCAAGTCGTCCCAGCACACTGAAGGCAGAGCGGCCACCTCTGCTGGTGTGATTAGCTCACAAGCACTCTTCAAAAACACTGAGGCACACGTCAGGTCCGCCTACAAGATCGCGTTCCTTAGTCTCAGTGCTAATGAGACCCACTTGGTGTGCACTGAACCCAGCCCGGCCCAAACGCTCACCTGACGCCGATGGTGAACATATCCAGAATGTGCTTTCCCTGGAGCCAGCCGACCAGCATGATGACCCCTACAAAACATGAAGACTCTGCTGACAGGGTGACCAACAGCCCTCCTGTGCTGCTCTTTCACTAAGATTTCGGCTCATTTATACAGCAGCACAGCTGTTACGGCCCTTAAAGACTCATTCGGCCCACGATGAGGTTCTTATTAGCGTGCTGTGGGTCCTGTAAACATCAAAACACAGGAAGCACAGCTATAGCACAGGCCAACTACCAGTTATAAAAGGTAATCGGACCAGCGAGACTACTGACCAGGGCAAAAAAGAGGAAGTACATAACACCAGTCTTAGCTTCATCACGTTGCCTTCTGATACAGGATCCAGTTTAACATTCTATTATTTGTTTGTAAAGCACCAAACAGGCTCCCCTCCCTGTGTCACTGATTTGCTGCATCACTACACTGTTCTCAGGCAGCTGACGTTATCTTTACTTCTATTTGTTCCACGAGGCTCGGTAAAGCAGAACGGTGACCGCGCCTTTTCAGCATGTGCACCTAATCTCTGGAACAAACTCCCTTTTAACAGCAGGTCCTCCCCCTAAATTACTGTTTTAAAATCCACTTAGACTGGCATTCATTCCAGATTAACAATAATTTTTATTTACTATTGTTTTTACCTCTTTCTCGTCTCTTATGGAGTTGGACTGGCACTGTTATTGTGCGGCAATGTCTTTTGTTTGTATCGTTTTACTTATTTTTTGTAAATATTGCACAGCATTTTAATAAACTTAGGTTGTTTTTAAATGTGCTTCATAAATAAAAATTGTCTTATTTATTTACTCTGTTATTAAAGATGACGACCTATGATTCAGGAAGCCTACATAATATTGAGAAGGGAAACCTTGCCAATCAAGCTGTAAACCTAGGAGTAGAACAAAGGTACAAGAGGTTTTTACCTATGATCCCAAATGAGTAGAGAGAAAGCTGCTTTCCCAGCAGGTCCATGCTCTTCTGTAGGGGGGTTTTGGGAGCCTGTTAATAGAATGAAAAATGAAATTTTAACACAAAAGCTTAAATGATTCGTAAGCTGTTCAAATCAGAATCAGCGGTGCAGGGGCAGGTCCAAACACGAGGAAGGGAACAGGGTAACTGCATAGAGTGGGTGGACACTGACCTCCTCAGCCTGCATCATCTTAAAGACTTCACCAAATTCAGAGTTTTCTCCTGTTCCGATGACAAGACCCTACAACAAACAAGGACTAGACTGGAAAGGTGCACTAATATATCTGGAAACCTGAAGTGCTTCTTGCTTTTGTGTCTGTATTTTTTCTTTTTAATTCTCCCATGCTGATGGTCCTCCTGACCTAAAGGAGGCAGCAATAGAATTTACCTTGGCCTTTCCACAGCGCACCAGCGTCCCCATGAATGCCACGTTGCTCCTGGAGGTGATGTCGCCGTTGGTGGCCGCCGGTTGGGACGTAGTGCACTTGGAGCAAGGCGTAGTTTCTCCCGTCAGGCTGGACTCATCCACAGACAGGTCAGTTGCCTGGAGGGTGGGCAGCATGGGAGTTGACGGGCAATCTGGCACTATGGAGTCACGTTTTGCCAGCGGCTTGAGCTAAAGTTTGGAGCATCTGGGGAATAAACCTAAAACTGCGACTTAGGAGAAAAGAGCTGGAGCAGGACACATGTCAAGCTCACGTAACATGATGAAAGGAAAAGGCAGATGAAGATGCCAGCGATGCCAAGTGAAAGCCCCAAGACGCTCTGTGGCTACTTATGTAACATCACATTCATAACTATTCTTACCTCCATTGTTACACTGTATTCCGCCCCACGCTCCCTTTTAACTGCACCCAACCTTTCCGTTTGCCTGTGTCCTCATTTAGTTTAAACTGACTCATAACATCGTTGTTTAATGTTTGCCAAGAGGTTTGAGGCGTCTACTACGGAAAAGGTGCTAAATAAGATTAATTAAAAACTGACTATGCATTAAGGTGAACATGGATTTACAAGTTTCATGAATATGTATTCATTTAATGCGTATTTTATAAATGGAGGCTTCCCTCAGTGAGACTACTGCTTCCCATTCGCAGGAGTCTATTAATAAAATGTGGCACTTGAAGGCGGATAACAGGACATGGAGGGGCGGGGGGGATATCCTTACCTCGAAGAGGCGAAGGTCTGCTGGGACGCGCTCCCCCACCGAGAGACAGACGGTGTCGCCCGGGACCAGCTCCCGGGCCAGCAGGTGCTCCAGGTGACCTTCCCGCACGCTGTGTGGCAGAGGGGGAGACACAGCATTTAATGGCTCCACGACAGCGCCCCCTTCTGGGGAGGTTCCCACCAGGGAGCCGCGCACGTTTAAAGTGCGAATCTGAAACAACAGCTACGGTCTGAAGCCTCTCGCATGGCGCCACCACCACGGCCAGTCTGGGAGGGGGCTGCTCACCAGTGACACTCAGGAGGCACCAGCTTGCCCAGCTCCTCCAAGGACTTCTCGGACCGGTACTCCTGAAAAGGTCATGGGTTGTGTCAGTACGGCTGAAGCTGCCACTTGGTGCGCAGACGGGGGCAGGTGCCCGGCAAGTAAAAACGGGGAACATACCTGTACAAAGGCGACGGTGACGACAATAATAATGGCCTGTTTTGGGGACAAAAAGAGGTGCATTAGAGTCCATGGGAACAAGACCGGCCACAAAGAAAAGCTCATTCAACAGCTTTAAAGAAAATGTCGTGGGAGCCTCACGTACCACGGTGATGCTGACGGCGTCGTCAAACTGTCGCATCACCACACTGATTACGGCAGAGGCCAGTAATAGCATGATGAGGGGGTCTTTGAACTGCAGGACAGACAAGGGGGGGCGTCAGCTCCAGCTCACACTGACACGGCCTTCGAGGATTCAGCAGTGACCCGAACCGTCCTGCCAGCCGCAGGCACCTCGCTCAAAGGAAGGGCCCTCGTCCAATCAGAGGGTAGGAGAAACCGGTGACCAAAGGCACATGGGTACAGCGCCATTACCTACTGTAAGTCAGCAAGAAATGCTGAGCGAAAGAGATCCCCCCCCCCCAACTCCCAATGACAAATCCCCATGGACACGGAGTGCAGCAGACACTGCACAACTGCCACTGCTCAAAGGGGCTGAGGAGAGAGGATCGGAATGCTGAGACGGATGATTCTGGCCCGTCCACTGGCACCACAGCTCAAGCCTGCCAAGGCATGGGCTGATCAGCCTGAATCTCACCTACCCGCCAGCAGGGCACAGCTTGACAAAAACATGTACACAAATCCAGGATAAGCTTACTGGGTCTGGGTTATCGTGAATGTACCACTGTCTTTAAATTCTGAACTCATTATGCAACTGTGCAACGATAAGACGAACAGTGGATCATACGAATGCTTTACTTTATGCTATATCGCTCGGCATTGTGCTAAAAATACAACGGAAACATTCCTACTGCGCACTGTTAGACATGCCAGTGTAAGAGATACTGACAGGAAAGGGAGAGTACCACAATTACAACGCGGCAGGTGACATTCAAAATGACGTTAAAGCTGCCAGTGTCCCAGACATGATCTCTTTTGGGGCGGGGCGGCATGAACTTGATATGCAAGCCACAAAAGCTTGTTTTGCGCAGGGTCTGGCTTTCCATGGCTGCCAGAGTGTGTATAAAGTATCAGAAAGGCTCAAGACTGCATAAAACCAGGTCTTGGGGAGTGGGAAGGTGTGGGAGCACTGCACATCCGTCTGCATGCACGTCATGGCAAAATAAACCAGTATAAAAATTACAGGATAGGGAAGAGGGAGAGCTGCAGGGAAACACAACTTAAAAAAGAACAAAAAGAAAAAAACAAAAAGCGAGCATAATTCAAGTGTGGCCTAACTGCCACAGGGAGATGCATAGGCAAATGGTAATTAGAGGGTCTCCGTCTGAAACACTGACTGTCCCAGAGGGCCAGGAGAAGTGCTGCAGCTGGCTGACTGAACGCTGTGGCCGGTCGGGAGAGTGTGTCAGAGTGTGTGTTTGTGTTTATGTATGTGTGCCTGTGTTTGTGTTTATATGTATGTGTGCCTGTGTTTGTGTTTATATGTATGTGTGTGTTTGTGTTTATACACGTGTGTGTGTTTGTGTTTATACACGTGTGTGTGTTTGTGTTTATACACGTGTGTGTGTGTGTTTATACACGTGTGTGTGTGTTTATACATGCGTGTTTATGTTTATACACGTGTGTGTGTGTTTAAGTGTGTGTTTGTGTTTAAAAATATGTGTTTTAAAAAAGGGGGATAAAAGTAATCCAGCAAACTATAGGCCAATCAGTTTAACTTGCATAACTGCAAAAGTAATGGAAGCTATAATCCAAGTGAAGTAATCCTAATTTACTTGAGTTCTTTGAGGAAACTACAAGAGAAATTGATCACAAAAAAGCCTACGAAGTGATCTACTTAGATTTCCAGAAGGCCTTTGATGTTGTCCTCTACAAACGGCTCTTGCTTAAGCTCAAAGCTGCAGGGATTATAGGAACTGTAGCAGCTTGGATCGAAAACTGGTTAACAGACAGGAAGCAGCGAGTAGTTATTAGAGGCACAATGTCACAGTGGGCCTGCGTTCATAGTGGGGTACCGCAGGGTTCAATTTGAAGACCACTATTGTTCCTAATTTACATTAATGATATTGACACCAATACATACAGTAAACTGGTTAAATTTGCAGATGACACCAAAGTGGGTGGTGTAACAGATGATAAACTAGCAGCACAGAGGCTACAATGGGATCTTGATTTAATTAGCGACTGGGCTGATACCTGGCAGATGAAGTTTAACATAGATAAATGTAAGGTAATCCATGTAGGGAGCAGAAATATAAAGTACAGATATTTTATGGGTTCCACTGAAATAAAGGTAGCTGATTATGAGAAAGACCTTAGTGTGTATGTTGATGCTTCCATGTCCCACTCTAGCCAGTGTGAGGAAGCAATAAAGAAGGCCAATAGGATGTTGGGTTACATCTCTTGGTATGTGGAGTTTAAGTCAAGGGAGGTGATGCTATGATTATATAATTCCTTGGTAAGACCCCACCTAGAATATGGTGTGCAGGTTTGGTCACCATACCTTAACAGGGTATATACAGAAATTCAGAGGTTAAATTTAACACTTTTTAATACCTTCTCAATATTTTTTAAAACCCGCACGGCATTGAGTTGCAACCGTTTTTAAACA